CTAAAATTACAATTTAAAGCTTTTGAAATATAATTTTCTGATATGAGGCATGTGTGTGACCCGTGTAGAAACAAAGCAGTAGTAAGAATAACTAACATTTTTTCCTCCCTACAACGACATTTTCTTTCGGCACAAGGCCTTTTTTTAATAAGTGGTTGTTGATCATCTGCAGATAACGAAGTGAGGGTTTCAGTAGTTTTTCATACGTTTTGGTTGCAATTTTATTTAGACAGGCGTCAAGAATAATTACAACTACGTTTTTTGTCAACCTTTCTTTTATATACTTGCCAAAGAATTTTCTCGAACAGAGCCTATCTATTTCAGGTGATATCTCCCAGCGACTCGTCACTATGAAACTCTTAACTCTCCTCAGGCTGTTAAGAATCTGCGAATTTCAATTTACTACTTTTTTTATGTGCCGTATACTTTCAAGAAGTGGGAGATGATGGCTCTATACAACTATCCTTTGTTCCTCTTAGCAATATTTTTTTTTTATTACCATCCTTCTCAATCCGCGTTTTGGCATCCACTTACATAAGCAAGACAGGTAATTAACCAACTGCCTCCCTACTCGATATATCCTGTGAGTGTCAAATTTCCCATGCCCTCTTTTCAGATTATGTGTCCCAAAATGTTAAATATCTCTTTCTGATACTGGGTGTATGTTTTCACCTTTCTTAAGACTCCGACGCCGTTCTGAATATGACGATGAACTACATCCGCGTACTGGATAAGACGATAAACTACACCCGCGTATTGGATAAGACGATGAACTACATCCGCGTACAGGATAAGACGATAAACTACATCCGCGTACAGGATAAGACGATAAACTACATCCGCGTATTGGATAAGACGATGAACTACATTCACGTACTGGATAAGACGATAAACTACATCCGCGTACTGAATAAGGCGATAAACTACATCCGCGTATTGGATAAGACGATGAACTACATTCGCGTACTGGATAAGACGATAAACTACATCCGCGTACTGGATAAGACGATAAACTAAATCCACGTACTGGATAAGACGATAAACTACATCCGACAGTAAGGCAGGTGTTGAGGAGCATGGAACCACCTCTTAATTGCTGGTGTTACCAGGTCCAACTAGACCCGGGGTGGTGGCTACTGTTAGGGTCCCAGCTATGGACAAATAGTTAAACCTCAAACTGAGGTCAAAACGTGTAAAAATAGGTTTTAATATCAACAAAACATTTTTTGTAAAAAAATTATTACCAGCAATATATTTTTGAAGAAAAAATTATTACCAGCAATACATTATAACCAGGAATAATTTTGGGGTAAAAAATATTACCAGCAATATGTTTTTGGAAAAATATTACGAAAAATCCTTTTTTAAAAAAAAATATTACCAGCAATAAAAATCTTATCGGCATTAAATAAACCATTAAGGCTGATATACTGAAAACAGACTAAACCAAAACAAAGACTCTAACCATGGTATTCTCAGTATTCTACTGTAGAACCACATTTCTGTTGCCTCTAGTTTTCTTTTCATCTCTGTGAAACTATCCAGAATTCGTTACCATACTGGACGATTTATATCACGTAGCAATTCAGCAATTTGTCCTCTCTTTCTAATGAAATGTTCCTGTTTCTTAATGCTTAGCTTAGCTTTTGGAAGGCATTTATCGCTATCTCAATGCGCCTTCAGATCTTGATGTCTCATTTTCCATTTCCCGTTAAAATATTTCACAGAGATGTAAATGTCGATACTTTAATTTTGTTATCTCTAATTTGTAGTTCGAATTTTCGGGTAAAAACACATCACAAAAAGAAAAAAAAACCCTTAATATTTAAGTTCGCTGAATTGACTCATTAAGACAGGTGCCTACAAAGGTCGCGTTTAACCTCCAACTAATAAAGTCAGGTGAGATAAGCTCAGATTAATAGAACAGAAATGACAAAGTGGATACATCGTTGCAATGATTGGGGAAGCAGACGAAAAATCGATCTTTATTTCATTAAGAAGGCGATCGCAAGTGTTAAATCAGGTGCATAAGTTTAAGATAAAAAAACTGAATCCAATTTGAAGCCCTAATCGTCATGACTGCCCTGAAAAGAAAGACTGAATCTACCAAATTGATTTTTAATTCGACGGTAAGAGTATTTTTTTTCCTTTTTATTTGTTTCCTTTAATCAAACCGAAAAAGAAGAATGGCTACCTTGCCATATATAACTAAATTCATAAGGAAATAGATGTCCTTTATTTCTTACTAACAGCATGGCCCGGCGTTGCCCGTGCTTAATTCAAAAATCGTACGACTCATACAGCAATCACTATCACTTAACTTAAAATATTTTTGCCCTTCCTTGCCTTTAAAGGAGTGCCCTTTGCCCTGCTGATGTTGCTACATGCCTTACTTCTTGCCTACCTCACACTGCGAATTTTTTCTAAGCTCTATACTAAATATTAAATCCGTTACGAAAAAAGAACTAAACAAAATGAACACAAAACGATCAGCTTTAAAAAAAAAGGACTCGTAAGTGGAAAAACCGAATGAAAAAAGAATGTTAACAACAAATACTTTTTCACACCCAACCCAGTTCTGCGGAATCAGGATCAACGTTGAGTTTAAGCAAGCAAATGAGCCAATTGGAGTAAAGTGCCATGCAGATTTAAATTTTTCCCACTTGTGACGAATGCAGCTATCGATTTTTTTGCATGCTAGCATGCTAATTAACATTCGTGTCAGTCAGCTGTTGGCTCTCACGCTGGCCAATAGAATCATCCTGCCTATTCGTGGCAGCCAGCTATAGGCTGTCACTCTGGCCAGTAGAAAATGGCCGCAAACTACATGAAAACTGCCGTAGAAGCATGAAAAAATCGATTATTTCTACTATCGATGGGAGTTGGGAAATGCAATGTCGGTGTTGGCTTTTCCCGCTACCTTGGACCATGTGCATGTAAATTTTGGCGCAAATCCATCGAAAATTGCATCCGTGCATTCGTTACACACACATACACACACACACACACACACATCCTGCCTCTTATAGATAAAGATAAATAAGACAATACAATTAGTTATTTTTATTTTACTCGTGTCGGAAGTTTTTTTTCTTTGGAATCTAAGCTTGGATTCTGGTCGATTGTTTTCGCCTGAATTACATGTTCTTAGTTCTTTCTTCTATTTATTACTTTTTTTTTTTCTTGGGTATTGGTTTGTTCATTTACAAGCCAATACACCTAATGTTTTTCCGGAGCAGTATACTTATTTATATTTATAAGATTATTATTATTATTATTATTATTAATATTATTATTTTTTTATATATATATATATATATATATATATATATATATATATATATATATATATATATATATATATATATATATATTTCTGGAATTACGCAGCAATCCTTCTTTCATGCACATTTCATTGAATACGACAGACAAGGTGCTTTGATTTAGATTTTTTATACAATTTTTCATGTGTTCTAATAATGTTTTTTTTTTTCTTTTCAGATGATAAATTATATAAAAACTGTCCGAATGTTCTTTTTATCCGAGCGCTTTCGTCTATACATTTAGCCATTTTCAAGGCTTAAATATTTTAATTGTTAAATAAGAAATAGTTTGTTGCATGTATGTATTTACATAATGTTTTCATTTCTTTTTCAGAACACGGTCAAGATATTGTGTCCTTGTTCATAGTCGATATTATTGATATTATGAATAAATGAAAAGTTCACAATACTTAGCTACGACCAACTAAAATTTTCGTTGTTATCAATTCTCAGCGCCAAACAAGAAAATTATATAACCAGAAAAGATACAGTTCAAAATATTTAGCTATGACCAACTAAATGTTTTGTTATGGTATCTCTACTCAGACAAGTCATTATTATATTATTTCCAGAATTGTTATAATTCAGAATACTTAGCTCTGACCAAATAAAATTATTATTTTATCGCTCCTCAAAAATTAGAAATTAATCTGATTATGTTCAAAGTGGTACGCAGTTTTGAAACCAACCGGCTGGGCAAATAATCTTGCTAGATGTAATTCACTCCTTCAAAAAAAAAAAAAAATGAGCCGTCTACTCGTAGACATGTATGCATCAAAATATAAGGTTAAAATAATGAAGTAGAATATCGGATTAAAACTTTATAAAATTCCTTAATTCTTTGTTTATATTTCGGGTACGAAAATAAAGTTAGCATATATGGATATTCGGACATATATCGGCTTTCGAGATGATCTAAACGAGAAGATGCGCATTCATTATAAGGGCGTGAGAAACATGACGGTTGTTTAGTGAAGCCACTTCCTAGAGTGACGAAAGTGGCTAATCCGTCAGTCAGCTTTCATGAGTCAAACCGTTGGTTTATTTTAGCGCAGGCACCTCATCCCCTCCTGAGAGTAAATATGCATTCCCAGCTACCACGTGATGAATCTTACAAACCCATGGCGCCGTTTGTTTTGGGGAATATATCTGTACGAATAGAAATAAATATGACTTCCCCAGAAACACAGAAGAATCTCTAGCCGCACCAAATCCCATTGAGATTTTTACAAGAAAGGCACTCTTTTTATCTTCTTTTTTAAATATGTGTATATAATTTTTGGTATGAATTAGTGGCATCTCAATCTCTGAGGAGAAAGCGTGTCTGTTATTCCTTTTCTTTACCTATTCCGTTCGATTCGTGCATTATATCATGATTATAATAATGCCCATAATGGGGGGAATGAAAAACAGGGATAATATTTTTTTACTTCCATAGGTCACCCATTATCTAGTGGCCTATCCGACGTGACTTGACGTATTGTTAACCTCCATTAAGGGTAACTGAACCTTCCTGGACTGTGAAGCTCTCTAACCGATTGCTCTAAAACACGTTCTAACCTAGCAAGGGCGTGTGGAGACTCATTATTTGAGTAGGTATTATTGTACCTGAAATTCTAAAAATACAAGTATCAACTAAAAGTTATTTTTTATTAATCGATGATAGAATAAAGTGACTTACGGTCATATCACCTTGAGACACCGTTTCTCGTACGATCACCGCAGTTAAACAACGTCAGACGTGTTCAGTATCTAAATGGGTGAATGCTTGGGAATATCAGGTGTTGTAAGATTGGATGTGCGGCTGGTGCAATGGATAATGGCTCTGAACGGAAAATCGGGGAGCGAGTTCCAATTCCAGTCGGGTTCTTTATTCCCTAAAATTTATATCACTAAATCTTTATTATCTACAAAAGAAAATTATAATCTAAAATATTTTCTGGCCTTAAATAACCAGCAAAGGGTGGTAATCTGTAAAAAAAAAATTAATCAATTGATAGAATTAATTTTCTTACTCAAAATATTCTGCTCTTTGGGGGCAGCAAATATATTAATTATTTGGTCAATATATTTGCAGCAAAACGTGTTAGCATTGTTTAGTTGAATATTTAAGCGGAGAAGCGCGAATTTTGACCCATTGTACGACGCAGATATATTTTCATTCATCTGAGGCCACCGATCTTAAAGGATGTTGTTTGTCAAGATACTAGCAATGTTGTTGGAACTGGCAGTATGCCATAAAGATAATTTTCGTAAACAGTTTCAACGACACCAGCTGCAGTTACTTGTAAACCTGACAGACGCTTATGGTCGGTGACAAACTTAAAGCAGCTTTTCTAACTTTAGGGAAACAAGATCAATGCCATAATAATTTAATTATTTCGAACTGTTGTTCTAATCTTGATTATTATGGCTGTTATTATATACACAACGTTTAGGCCAAGTACACTCTGTTCATCATCAGGTGTCCACTGTTTGTCTGATATGGAATATTTGTTGATTATTGTTCTACTTATTTCCTGCGATGTGATGAAATGGATTAAATGAGATTGATTGATTCCGTTTATTTTTTACTGTTTATCGATCCTTTGTGGACTAAGTCCAAATGTACAGTGCTGTTCGATAAAAGTAACTCACCTGATTTTTTTTAATTAATTTTTTTTTTTTGCCTATTGTTTTTGGGGTCAATTTATTTTTTAATCTTACTAATATAAAGACCCCTTCCCGACCACCTAGTAAAAAAGTTTACTCACCCTAAGGTATTCTATTGATAATTATAATTTTGGATATAAATAGGATTTAGGGAAAAACTCTGTGCAAAAAAAAAATTCCTGCAACTAGTAATCAATAGAAACATAACCGAACAGCTTTAAATAAAGAATAATAGAGGTATAATTTATTTATAATAGGTAATATAGTTCGAAATATTTAATAATCTATGGGTCCTTCTTTATTTTGAATAACTTTTTCAACCCCTTTTTGGCATTGACTTGATTAGGTTCTGGCAAATCTCATCTCCAAGCATTGAATTCCATTCGGATATGAAATTCACAATCAAATCCTCTTTGTTGCTCAACTGCTTTCTCGAGAGCCTGTACTTTATAATGCCCCATAAGTTTTCTATGGGGTTGAGGTCAGCAGATTGGGGCGTCCATGTCATAACACTCACCTGCTTCTCATCAAAGTATTCCTTCATCAATTTTGATTTGTGACAGGGAGCATTATCCTGCATAAAAATGAGCTTGGTGGGGTCGATTTGCACCCTTTCAGCAGAAGGGAGCTGACAAGACTCTAAAATTCTCTTGTATTGCTCGCTCCTGAGGGTATTTTCAATAGGTTTTAAGAAACCAGTTCCATGAAAAGTAAGCATCCCCAGAACATTATACTGAACGGATGCTTGACAGTATTTACTGCTAAATTCAAAGAGCTTCCAAAGCTTCTTCTTCGGATTTTAGATCGCTTATCCTTTGAATTTAGCTCAACTTTCGTTTCATCAGAGAAGAGAATGTTTAGTAAAAAAAAAAAATCAGGTGAGTCACTTTTATCGAACAGCACTGTATTTTGGGCTGTATCCAGTTTCTTATATTCGACGCTGAAGACCGAAAGTGAACCTGTGTTTTTAGCGGGATTAGGTAGCGAATATATTAATTATTTGGTCAATATACTTGCAACAAAACTGTTAGCAGACTTTTGCTGGATATTTAGCATAGCCTCACGGGTTGTGACCCATTGTACAATCGACGTATATCGTTATTCGTCTGAAGTCAGGATAAAATCAGAACAATAGTAAAAATAATATTTAAAGAATATTTATAATTGCATATCTCAAAAATGAAATAAAAATTTATCAAAAACGATGCGATATCGCCATGATAACCAAACATGTTGATAATATCTGATTGAATCTAATAGGCTCCAACGAAACTGATGTCCTTCAGGTGATGGCGTTAATATATGAGCTGTTTACAGGCGAAATTGTTATATATATATATATATATATATATATATATATATATATATATATATATATATATATATATATATATATATATATAAATAATAAATAGCTGGCCACTCGTATTCGAGGATACCTGTCTACCAGGGTGGCTAGCTAATCCCTATTGCGTTTGCTCAAAACCCAAAGAGTCCACCTGTGATTTATACTGCAACGATGCTGAGCAAACCTTAGTTACAGTTTCTTAAAAAGAAAGTGTTATCTAGCTTGATCAACAAGGCCAGCACGCTCAAGGCCTTGGCCACGATGACTTGTAACTTTATGCTAGCACAGCTATCGACGGCCTCCAAGAGTTCCGTCTACCAAGTATCGCTCACAAATGGTATGGTTTTCAGACACTTTCCAAAGGTGCCACACTCTGGGATAGACCTCGATGGGGAGATTCGAACCCGGTTCTCATGGTCAGAAAGCGAAATCACACACACACACACACACACACACACACACATATATATATATATATATATATATATATATATATATATATATATATATATATATATATATATATATATATATATACATCTATGAACATCTATGAGCAGATTTTCTCGTGTGTGCAAACCGAGACACGTAATACACACCGTTTAAAATTAAAAAAAAAAAAAAAACTGGCGTCTATTTCAAACAGGAACATTCTTGAAAAGAGACAATAATTACTTGCTAGTCTATGACGTTCTCCGTGGCCGAGCGGTGGATTCACCTCAAAAGTGGACACAGGTACTAACCCTGCCGGAGAGAATACTTCTTCTGTGCGTTCCGCAATAGACGTAGTATACACTGCTTAAAATAAAAACGGGCGTCTATTTCAAACACGACTATCCACTAAAAATAATGATTTGAAGTAATATGTGTGTGTGTTTGCGCGTGTGTGTGTATGCTAGTTTGTGTCTAAAAATTTAAATAAAATTTATCTGTAAAAAGACAATATGATTAAAGGCATATGGAAAATCTTTCTTTACCAAAACGAAGGACGAAACGTGTTAGTAAGGAAATGTCTTCTTTTTCACTTTATTCATATATATATATATATATATATATATATATATATATATATATGAGAAAGAGAAGGACAACTTCGGAATCTCCTGAAACTCTTCTAAACTGTCTCCTTGTTTAAGTTGGTGATTACAGCCATAATCCTAGCCTTCAGTTCATCTTTGGTGTTACAAAGAATTTTGTTGTCCTCTTGCTCAGCTTCACCCACACATAATAATCAAAGAGTTTTCAGTCTGGGAAGTGAGGAGGCTAGATATAAGGAGTTATGTGGTCGCAAAAATTGTCTAACAGCCATGACTGGGTTCTCCTGCCTGTGTGGCATGGTGCAGAGTCATGTTGCCAAACATAGGGTGTTCCAGTAGCCACCCTTTTTGATGTCTTGTAGAAAAATTGGTTATCTTAAAAGACTTAAATAACCCTAGCTTATTAAATAAGCGAAATGAACTGATGGTTACATGTAGGCATAAAAACAAATATCTTTTGAAAGACGTTCATCCAGATTAATTTTCAATGTAAATTATATAAGCTTTCTTTTTTTAGTTTTTCAATTTATTATAAAACTCTGTAAAAACCCATTATGTTTAATATATTAAAATAAGATTAATATTCACAACTGTAAATAAATATTAATATTTTTTATGCATATAAAATGAAAAAATCCCGTCTATTTTTAATGCAAAATATACTTTTAAAACAAAAAGTCTGAAATCCTGTATAATATATGGACTGCGACAACATTGCGTTAATCAGATATTTCTATTAAAATTTAAGTTACGTAATGGTCCATCTATACTCAGTACCTGAAGATTGTGTTTGACAATAATGTATACTGAGCTATCATATATTCTGGCATGCATTCTGGTAACGATCTAAAATTTTATCTTGGAAGTCCTTGCAAATTTTGTTTCTACCATAATCGAATGACTTTAGGCAATATAAAATAAACAGTACTGCTCTCTCCAAAATATAGGGTGACCCCCAAAAAATGGGAACTTTTTAACAATCCATTAAAACCAAGAGTGATGGAAAAAAATATATTTTATTCATAGTAATTGAAACCTTAAAACATGCCATTTACGAAAAAAATGATGGAATTTTCATTTTTTAAAATTTACGTCCTGTAGATAGCGTCCTTCTGTACGAATGCATTCTTGAAATCTGCTATTGAGATTCCTCATCGACTGCTGCAACATCTCAGCTGGGATACTGTGAATTTCATCTTGAATTCTAAATGGCGAAATGTTTACTTTTTCAAGGCCACTGTCTCTCAGTGTTGCCTCTTGCTCATGTCTGGCAATACGAACTTCAAAAATTCCCGTTTTTTGGGGGTCACCCTGTATTTTCGGGCAATTAAAGAATGGTAGTAATACACTGATTATTACGTTGGATATTGTAGCAAAAAGCCAAATCAAACAATGGGAAAAAGCAATAGTTGTAATGTATTTCTTGAAAAATTAGTTATCTTAAAACACATAAATAATCCTAGCTTATTAAATAAAAGCGACGAATTGATATTTACATGTAGGCATAAAAATAAATATATGCTCAAATATGTTGATCAAGACTAATTTATGATATCAATTATGCTTTTTAAGAACCAGTAATCTCACTTTTTAATTAATATAAAGAATTAATATTCACAATGTAAAATAAGTTTTCTTTTTACATATAACTATAAATCCCCTTTATTTTAAATGCCGAATTTATATTTTTTAAATTAAAAGAAATCTGTAATCCAAGCATAATACATAACTGCGACAACATTGCGATAACCAG